CATGTCTAATCCTGTTGGGGCTCCAGCAGTCGGAAACTTTAGCAATGTTCAACTTGCACATGTTTACCAATCGGTTAGCACTATAAATAAAGCTGTATTTAGTTTTTTACCTTATTAATATTTTATTTTTGAACCTAGTATCAACAACAGCCCTCGCAAAATCCACGCTTTTCACAGCAGGTTTCCCTTCCAGCACAGATGGGTTATTATCAGCAACATGCACAGCCACAATTAGTTAGGCAGCAATCAGAGAGTGGAATTCAACACCATACTCAGATTCAACAACACATCCTAACTATGCAGCAACAACAACAGCAACAGGTAGTCCTCGCCCAGCAGGAAATAAACTCGGCAAGTCCAGTAATATTTTCACAATTAAAACTTTTACTTACACACCCTTCCATTCTGCTCGTGCCAGCCAGGCAGCACGAGTTATTTGCATAGATTTCTCGGCTTTAGCCAAATCTACCTTAATAACTGCCTACACGGAACCTTTCTGCCTAGTGTTTTCAACTTATTCACTAAGACCCAATTTAAGCCAGCAAAATGTCTTTAAAGAAGTTGTTTGATCTTGTTTTCGCAACTTGGTCATATTGGAAGGAAGACTTAGAGGAACGCACCTTGTCCGGAGTCCATTTTATACATCATCATTTCCAGAGTAGGACCGTGGACGTGGTACATTCCCAGACGTTACGCCGGCATCGTCAGTGAGTCTTGCCATTCATAGCACCATATTACAACTCATCAAAAAGGCAAGTGACTAGTTGTAATATGGTGCTACGAATGGCGATACTCACTGACGATGCCGGCGAAACGTCTTGCAATGTACCACGTCCACGGTCCTAATCTGGAAATGATGATGCATGCAATGGACTCCGGACAAGGTGCGTTCCTCTAAGTCTTCCTTCCAATATGACCAAGTTGCGAAAACAAGGTCAAGCAACTTCTATAAAACGAAAGGAGACTGCGACCACACAAAAGGTCACACGATCTTGGTCTTCATACCTTCAATTAAAATGTCTTCAAGTCGTATTTGCAGGAAGCTTGACAAAATATGCCTCATTTCCAGTAGCTCAGATTCATATTTGACCGTGTTTGTCGCATTTTCATGGAACCAATATTGATAAATTATGCGATGCATCTGCTTCTATCTACATCGTACTTTTTTACGTCATCAG